TCTGTTATGGAATTTTAAGCATCTTACCCAAGTTAATTCTTATCATTTGCCACGTTTTTCTGTTGGTACATATTGATTTAAAATTTATATTACTTTTATGACATTATACTCTAATACACACACATTAAGGCACATAATACGGCACATTTAGAGGAACACTAGTAAAATCCTCAAAATAATGTAGTGTTTTTCTAAAAGTCTGGCCGGCTATTTCTTTATTTTACATCTGCCTTTATTGTTTCCATTTCGACCTTATCGTCACTTTCCGTCAAGTGAGATGGAGATCAAATACGCACTTACTTTTGGAATAAAAAAACTTGGAGATTAAAAATGAAATGATTGTAATTTTTTCATTCATTTGTTGAAGTTTGTCGAGTGGTATTTTACGTTCTTGTAAATTTCGTAAACTTTAGTTGAAAAATCTTTTTATTTGTCAAAGTTTGTTTTAATGTAAAACTGTTTTGTTAATTTTCATTTCTTTTTCAATAATCTTTTAGTAAAGACGTACTTAGTCGACGTTAAAATATGTCAATTTAACTGCTACCTTATGTCTAATTAATGAAACGTTAGGTACTATGGTTTATATTCACAAAATCTGTTATTCATAATACATCCACCTTTATTTAAATGTAATATACCTGTTATAATAACGTTATTATGTAACTTTGTAAATAATAAAATAGCACTATAGATTAATATCAAACGTTCTAATTAATTTCTCACCTTTAGGCAAAGAATAAATAAAAAATAATGACTCAATTCTCCAACCCACGAAAATGAAATCTATATCCGACGTGATAATAAATCGTTTGTAACGGATTTCAAGAACGTGACGTCATTACTGGCTAGTAAGGCGAACCGGTAACACGCAAAAAAGATGATTTAACTTTTAATAAAAGATGAGTTATTACATAACAATTCGATAATTCAAGGGCCTTGTAATTTTATCTTCAAGTGTTCTGTACCTGCTTTTTAATGTTCATGTTGCATTTTAACATATTTTATTACGTATTGTAACCTACCGTACATGTTTTTATTGGCAATGTTCATGAATATATTATTCGCTTAAGCAACATATTTCAAAGTTGACGTCGTAGTAATATAAACGTAATTGAATATAGCGATTTCGCTTAAGCTTCTGAACATCATTAATATGTAAAAATATATTGATATAAACAAATAACATAAATCGATTAAATAATTATTAATACAAAGAGCGAACACTTACAAAAAATTCCTTCGATCCTGCTGGATTCGAACCAACGCCTTCTAGCACACCGTGTCAGACACAATGACAACTAAGCCACAAAACGAACCAGAGGACCTTACGAATTTTTGTATGCGCTTGTTGCATATCTTCGTTTTTGGTTTTTAACGACTTTTTTGCCGTAGACCCAGTGTGAGAAATCTATTTCTTCACTCAGCCAGGCACCTTCACAGCTACCAGCAACTGGTATTAATTGTATTAATTAAACTTAATTATAAATCCAGTTCTTAGGTTTTCGCGTATGTTACAAATAAATGAAACAATTTTTTGTTTACAGCCGTGACCGTGGGACTTGTAAAGAACACGAAACGTTGAATCGTTTGAAAAAATAAATATACGCAAAGAACCGAAACAATTTAAATAATCTAGAGTTCTACGATAGAATATCGATAGAAAATTGCTTGCAAAAGAGAGCTCTTCAGATGTGGATTCGCTAACCTGCATTCTAGGTCATAGCTGTTATGATAAGAGTGATATGTTTGTATAAAGAGTCTTGTATTGAACATTGAGACGTGCTTGGGATTATACAGAAAAAAATATAAGCTAGAAACCAAACGAAGTTAAAATGTTGTAATTGCCTAAAAATACATTTACAATGTAAGTAGGTCGCTTTAAGCAAAGGTAGTATTTAAAAACGACGTCCTCAGTGGCTCAACCTTTACACTGTGAATAGTACATTATTATATTATACTATTATTATATTACGTAAACGAGCTCGTTCATATAACACGTGCATCTGTAAAAGAATTTCGTTTAAATCATAGAATATCTTCACCTTAACTATTTACTCATTTTAAGATTGCTATAAGAGTGAGCGTCACAAAATACTAAGACATCAGCCAAGGGGTGGTTTCAACTTACGCCACACGGTCACAATCAGCCTTCACTGACTTTCCTGCGATTCTATGGCAGCCACAATGGAAAATGGCGAGAAAAAAATACCCTATATTATGATTGAAGATTCCTGGAGCCACTCGGCATGCTAATTTTCAGTCGAATCGGAGCAATGTTTTCGGCCGCCATTTTAAATTTGCCGTATAATTTTTGCTCTGGCTGTTGATCTCTACTGCCCTCCATGTTTATTCCTTTGAGCACTTCCTACCAAAAAGTTTCTGACATAGAAGACTTTGAAATTTAAATATCGTCTTTCTTGCATTTGAATTTGAAACTATTTTACAATAGTTTGAAAATACTGTTGCGTATCTCGGTAAAACATAACAAAGCCCCTACAAGTATCATACTTTTTGCAGGTGATTAAAACATTATACACTAGTGTAAAGGTTTTTTCATCACACTTCCATGCTTTACATCTTTGGCAACCAGTGAAAACTTGTAACTCCATGTATTAATAATATTGTTGAACTTTTTAAACACGATTGTTATCCAATGTCACCGGTACTATAATAACAATATTTGACTTTTGACCACCTGTTTACGTGATATCAAAAAAGAAAGTTTACTACTAAATTGTGATATCGATTGAATGGTTTCTTCACGATTCGATAGATTGGACAGAAATACAAATAATAGTACACTTTTATGGCAAAATTGTAACGTGAAAAATGCGTGACTATGACAATTTTGATAATCCATTTAAAAATTCAAAATTTATCTTTTAGGCCATTGGAGAGTCCATTATCATGTGATATAATTATCATGTGTTTAAAGTACTTTTAATGTTACTTACACGTGATTTTATTATACCAATAGTACGAAGTGTCCAAGGTAAGAGAGACTTAATGTCTATATACGCAACACAACAAACTGTAGACCACAAACAATCTACGCTTAATAAGTTTGGGCGAGCTCCAACCTTTTTCTTAGTAGCAGTAGAGCGCCTTGTGAACGAGATCGTCCAGGGAAGTACTGCCACCTTACCGATTTCCGCCGCCAAGCAATAATGTGAGCATTATTGCTTTCAGGTTTTGAAGAGTGCTAGTGAAATTACAGGCACATGGGACTTGACAACTTACGTCTCAAGGTGACGGACGCAATGGCAGTGCCCCTCAGATATTTGCTTTAGCTCTGAGTGTCGCTACAACTGCTATGGACAGACGTGTCGCTTACCACCAGGACATTAATTTTTCATGTTCATCCCATCACTTGGTTTCATAAAAAAACCTTTAAAAACCGAAAGCTGTCGTCGTCCTTTCGACAATCTGTCATTTTAGAATATTGTAGCACAAAACGCAATTCTTACACCGAGGCCCACGTATGTATAGCTATTACCTACGTCGTTTGTATGCCCGTCAAATAGACAAATGGTTTAACGTTATCAGCCATCAACGCGTCTACAAGTCCCTAATGGTAAGGACGTAATTACAAACCTTCATTCCACAATAGGGTCATTAATTCAACCACCTTGAACCTGAAGGTTATTATTAACAATTCTCTATTAAGAGATACACTCTTATTTACGTACCGAGGGCACACAAACTACATATAAAATTTTTATTACAAAAAAAACCTAATTAGAAATAAAACTATTTTTTCGTACATAAATGGATTAGGTATATCTGTTTTTCCAAACACAGCAGCATTTTTAGTACTGTAGAGCTCCTTGTGAAAGAGTTCCTCCAGGGAATTGTTGCCACCTTGCCTATTTTACTCCCTCTATGGCCGAACTGTTATCATGCCAGACTGCCACGCAGAGGTCCTAGGTTCGATTCCCGGGCCAGGAGAAATATTTGTATGGCCTTCTATCGTGAGTTTGGGCGTAATTTGGGGTTGTCTATGTGTGCATCCATGGCACCCGCGACACAGGGTTGCGCTAGTGCGGGGCTATATTGAGTGTGTGTGTGCGGTAATATTTCTGCCGCAAAGCAGTAATGTGAACATTACTGCGTGTCGGTATTGGAGGGTAAGGTGGCTAGTAAAATTACAGGAACATGGGACTTTTCAATTTGTCTCAAGGTGAAGTGCACAGTGGCAATGCGCCTCAGATCGTTGCGATTTAAAGATCTGAGCGACACTGCAACTGTTATGGACAGACGTGTTGCTTACCACCAGACACCCAACTTGTTCGTGCCATCACTTGATATCATAAAAAAACGCATTTCGAGGTCTTTACAAGTCCTATAGTCGCTAATAGTCATCAACTAGTTACGTCTAATATTAATGCAAACCACTATATTCACCATACCATGATACTAAAGAACATTTATTCTAATATACTCTACATACAATTTGCTAAACATTTTAAAAAATCCATTTTTTTACTACATAAAACATACGAATTAAAAGGAAATTAGTAAAAAAAGTTGTAGTCTTATGTCTGCTTGGGATTTTTTATCAGTGGAAATACCGGTGGTACGGTTTGTTTGAAAAATACAAATATAAGTACTCTATATAAATAGTTTCATTTCCAGTTTTCCTAAGAGATCAAATTTGAACCATAATGATTCTTTTTTGTTAACTACTATATCTACAAATAATAAAATGCTAAATTGGACTTGGGTTCTTTTGGGCGCATTGGCTCACTTATATTAATGCTGTATCAGCGATTACCACAAAACTAAACACTTGAGGTATAGAAAAGTACCAACCTATAAAGATTTTCCGATTACACATTCAATGTTATTTGAGGTAACTTCCGTACATTCGCCAATGTACGAAAACAATCGGCAGATAAGGGCCATTGTTCTTTAATAGGCTTCTGACAATAGAGACGTTCAATTTGTGCTCTTTCTTGTGTTATGTTTACTTGTTCGATGCACATAGATTGTGTTTTACAATGAAAAGTAAATAAAGTACCATAGCTACTTACTACAGTATCGTTATACACTACTTACTCGTGTTAATACAATGATTTATTAAGCTACAGTAACAAAGACTTTCCCTTTTACGTTACTTATGAACTCTACTCTTTCTTCCTTTCCACAAGAGAAGGGAGAACCAGATAAAAATGACATGGACTTTCCCTTCTCTGTCTTTCTCTATCGCACAGTCATTTTTATCTGTCTTCTCCTTTCTCCACAGACATCCAAGAGCTGGCCCGGCAAAATAAGATCACCAAGCAGATTCTTGAGGCATTCATTCAGAAGAAACTTGGGTTGGCAAGAGACAACGTCAAGCCACCTTCGATCTACGAGATCCTACCATCGAATAGAAAGCAAGAAGAACGGTTGACAAGGGAATCTCCTGATAGTGAGCAGCAGGAAAACCAAGATGTCCCAGAAGATGACAGCTTGCAAAGCGTAGAGAGCGAACAAGTTGACTCCATTTATTCTGAAGGCATGTATGAATTATTGTTGCGAGTTAGAAATTATATGATTGCGATAGAGGCTTTATTCAACACTTAGGGTTGCACCAGTTTTACTTGTTTATTGAAGAAAATGGTTATTTACTTTAACATAAGCCTAGTTTACAACACTGGGTTCGAAAGGTCTTTTAAATAAATGTTTACTTGTACTAGTAGTCCCGCCCTTTCTCATTGCAACACAGGAATGACTGGTGTAATTAATTTTATAAATCAATTACATTTAAAGTCGAGTTTATAATGAAGACGTTGATATGTAGGAGCATTAACCTATAAATTATTTCCTCTCTACAAATTAATTTATAATTTTTAATATCAAGCAAGCATTTAAAGGCACCAATTTAGGTAAGTACATGACACTTATGACTTAAATTCAACGCCACTTACAATAAGAATGGTTCAAAGTCCACAGTGCTAAGTTTGACGAGCTCTTGACTTACAATGAAAAATTTAAGCACGTTTGAAGCTTTTGATGTGGTAATTAACAATACAGGTTTAGAGGTTAAACACATAGACTTTAAAGCCTTAATTACTGTAGATTAAACAAATCATTCGCATTTATTAGTCAAATATTTGTTGATTCATTGAACAAACTTTAAAACAGATATGAGACGTACTTGTAAAGATGTTGCGTAGTATGTGCAAACCTATAGACATAGATTACCAAATGGCTGCTGATATTTCTGAACGTATGTTGGAATGCTTGCACTTATTATGTAAGTATCTCTACAAATGATACGGGTCGATCGTATGAAGAGTCCTAACAAGCACAGCACGCAACGGTGCGTGCAGGCCGAAATGATTGCAAAATCTGTAAGTGTAGCTGCGTACGCGCAATTTCCCAAACGATAGGAAATGAATGGCCTCAACCACCAATTTTCAAGTCTCCGCGAGAAAATTAGTGTCGACATTATAATTGTAAAAAGTGTAGTGAAACTTGAAGCTACTTTGTTCATTAGGGTGTTACGTCTGTTGATGACTAAATTAGTGTTCTCAATTACAAATAATTATTTTTAAACATAGTAATGGCACTAATAGCCGCTAAACTCTGAATTCGAATATATTTTTGAAAATGGAGAAGTGACATTTTTAACAATTTCTGTTTAACTATAAAACACTATTAGAACAAGTCATATAAATTGAAATTTGCATAATTACAAAATAATAACCCGGGGTGTTTCATGATTAATATATTAAAATTGAACTTTTGCTTTATAGTCCAGTATTGAAAGAATGTATGAATGAAATATTAATTATAGCACATTAAAAACACAATAACAACAGAACAATAAAGTAAGTATCACAGGGTAAGCTAATGTATAATAGGCGGCCTTATTGCCAAGTAACAATTTCTTCCAGGCAATCGTAAGATAGAAATTTAATAGCTGGAAATGGGGGCGCAATCGAAGATTATCTTGTTTTAAATAAATAAATATATATATAAATAATAAATACATACATTATTAGAGAATATATGTACATACATATACATATACATACATATGAATATATAGACATATTAACATTATTATTACAGTATTAATACTGACTAAAGTATTCGACTTAGTTACAAGTATGCAGCGTTAACTATCAAAATGTTTTATATAAAAGGTATTTTATGGCGGCATAAAAACGTGGTTATAAAAATAATACATTAATAAATAATAAATTTGGAAACCGAATTTATTTACTTTTCCTTTTTTGTTATTAATTTTAAAAAGGACAAATGTTTGGTACAGCCATAAGTATTGACATTACACTGATTAAATGAATGAAATAAAGAAAGAAGAGTGAACGAATTATTTTGTATTTTATATACGGATAAATTGATTTGTTTCTAAAATACGAATAATGATAAATTGATTACATTTTAAACAAATGTCCAATGTTTTACAAAGGATATTCAAGTACATTAGTAGCAGCAGAGCTCCTTATGAAAAAGTTCGTCAGGGCGGTACTGCCACCTTTCCTATTTCTGCCGCCAGCAGTAATGTGAGCATTGCTGTCTTTCGGTGCTGAAGAGAAAGGGTGTTGGAAATATTACAGACACACGGGACTTGTCAACTATGTCTCAGGGTGTAAGGCGCAGTGGCAGTACCCTCAGATCTTTGCAATTAAAAGCTCTTAGTGACACAGCAAGTGTTAGCACCTGTAGAACGTCCAGGAAAGTTCTGTCACTTACCCATTTCTGTCACGAAATTACACGCACATGAGACTTGTCAACTTATGTCTGAGGATGACGGGCGAAGTGGCAGTATATCTGAGATCTTTGCGACTTGAAGCTCTGAGCGGCAGTGCAACTGTTATGGACAGGCGTGTCACTTACCACCAGGCGCACGACTTGTGCGTCGCGTCACTTGGTATGATAAATAAACATACATTTACAACATGGGGCAGATACATAAGTATTTTTTTGAAATTGTTAATAAGCAATTTGTTTTTATTTACTTTCTAATGTTACAAGTGTATATATTTGTTTTCAAACAGTTTTAATGCGTATGGCACCTAATAAAAGATTACTGTCCCTTAAATCACATATATTATTCATTGCCTTTGTTCTACTAGCTATTGTGTACGATATAACTAAATACATCGACGTCTGACATTTACTAGGCCTTGAAACGTTCAATGTTCAGGGACCGGTTTATGACAGGTTTTCAAACAGGTATAAAAGGTGTCTATGAAATCGTATATTATTAAGCTTAAGGAACGTCTACTTATATTCAAAACTTTGTTAATAAAAATTTCTCTTACGATTATAATGTGCCAGATAACCACATCAATACCACATCATTGCCTTGTCTCAAACTAAGGAATTCCCTGTAGTACGGATATCAAAGCAACGGAATTTACTTGGGTTTACTTGGTGACCATACAGAACACCCAGACCTGAACCAATTCAGAACAATTCATTTCTCACTTTGTTCCTATCGGGAATTGATCCTCACAAAGCGCCCACAGCATAAACGGTTGGGCCACCAGTCGTCAACATGCAAGAGTAGCTTCCAAATTTGTAGATTATCAATACGTTCCATTTGTTGTGCAGAGTTATCAAATCTTGATAATTTTTACCGAGTATTACATACATCGTAGCATAAAGAAATAACCAGATCTATTAAGTTATTCTTCAAATACAACCTATTTATATACATGACTTTTTTAAATGATACGAAGTCATGCGCCTGGTGGTAAGCGACACGCCTATCCGTAACAGTTGCAGTGCCACTCAAAGCTTTAAATCACAAAGATCTGAGGGCACTGCCACTGCGCCCTTCACCCTGAGACATAGTTGACCAGTCCCGTGTGCCTGTAATATTACCAGCATCCTGATCCTCACGTGCAGAAATAGATAAGGTGGCAGTACTTCCCTGGACGAACTCTTTCGCAAGGAGGCTACTAAAACCATTAATTCTTGTTACGCGATAACTCGGCATTTGTGGACCGATTTTGACCATGCTTTTTTGTCGGCAAGAGGGTACCTGTAGTGGTACCATTTAAATTTGTAGAAAATATTCCACCTCTCAGAGTGGCACACTAGGGAATGAATGACTTTTGAGGTCGGTTTTTTAGTACTCAGTAGTGAGATTATTTAACCAAGCAGTTGTAAAATCACAAAAGAAATGAGTGACGTAAAATCAGATAAGAAACTTCAGTCTCACTAGGTTAATTTTCATCATGTCACCCCATTCTGTCAGTAAGTTTACCTTGCCCCAGTTATGCGCTGGTATGCCGTATTTCCGCATCGAGAGCAGTCCAAGTTGGTATTCCTGTAAAAAGCTCCCGTTCCTTACATCTTCCTGTAATACTTCAAAGCTTAAATATTCAATTGTTTCGGTACAAAAAATTGTAAAATCAAATTCTAATTATATTTTGATTAATATACAAATATGTATAATAAGGTACGATTGGAAAAAATTGAGTCACCGTAACTGTGTGTATTAAATACACACAGTTACGGTGACCCGAGAACCAAAACGGTACACAGAGTGAATCGCTCTTTTTGCAACACAATTATGGTTTGTATATCTGCCGCTTTACCCTAAATGAGAATGCCGTATGACATTATACTATGGAAGTAACTAAAATAAAGTAGTCTAGCAGTAACAACATCGGCAAGCTCGTCGTCGATACGTATTCCACGGACTGCGTATGCAGCAGAGCTTAATTTGCTGGCTGAAGAAGTGGAAACCATTGAAGTTTACTATCTAAGGTCACTCCCAAAAATTATATGTTCTCATGACCGGATAGCATTTCCATTTTAATTTACATTAAAGTTACAGAATCATGAAAAATCTAACTATAAGAATGAAATGAAGAAAATTTTGGAATAAACTCGGGCAAAAACCAACAATTCTTTGTAATGTTAGTAGAACTACAGAATTGCACAAATATTACTACAAATATTTAAATAAATGTAATGTGTAACTTACCAATATTTCATTTCATAACACAAAACTAACACAATCATAATATACAAACGTCCAAAAGGTCAAGAATAGACAAACCACAACAGCAAAAAAGGACAAACATTGGCATCACTATTTTATAAGTCAGTGTGCAAAATGGATCTATTGCGACCTTTGGAAAGGTTTGTTAAACCGCAACGATTGAAACAAGATGAAATTTCTGCTCAGCTCCGATGACTTATTCTAAACTCATTGCCAGTGCACAGTTTATTGAGTAATTCTGACGTATATGTATTGTGACGCAACAAGCAATAAATGAAAAGTTATGAGGTTTCCTGTTTGAATATGGGAATACGGTGCATTGTAAAAAAAATGAAACAACTGCAAAATTACTGTTTGGTCGAAGTTTGAGATCACGGTTCGACTTAATATTGCCATCTAACCGTACGATTGATTCCGTATTCATGCGGTGAGGCCATAATGCATGTAAGAGTTTTCGGGTCAGTGACATTGTTAGATTTTATATACAGGAAAAGCCAGTGGTGTCTGGCAAAAATTATAAAAATAAT